AGGCCAGGTCAACATATATTATAAAACAGCATTGTGGTGATCAAATAAATTATAAACGAAACACTTCTATGTCCCTATGATAGCCGTGCTCCATAACAACACAAAGTAAGTTTCAATTTTCAATTTTTAATGAATTTTTACTAACATTCAATACACATGTTTTTGAATAGGCATTCAACTTATAAAGGTAAAATAAATAAAAAGTAAAATACAGGCGTATAATAAAATGCACACCAATAGTCATTTAGTTGTTATGAAAAAATAGCACCTCAATTACACATATTACTATTTTATATTGTTAATATTGACAGTACGATGATGGAAACCGTTTTTATTTGTTTTCTTATCAGTTACAAATCATTTATCATTTTAGTGATTAACCTGTCCGTGCCCTGTCCTGTTTTTGTTTGGGGCCCGCCTGGGCTCCTTGCCACTGGGTCGTATGGGGGTTGCGTTTATTGAACGCCGCCTTTCCTTGTTGATCTTGTTTATCATATTTTACTAGAATACATTCACTAGAATACATCTAGTTCCGCCTACATTGAAAGCTGCTTCATTCCGAATGGGGCCGTCGGAGCCCCTTTTCTTTTGAATTTTAATATAATTACACATATATCGAACATAAATATTAAATATATTTTAAAGTCAAGGCGAAGAATTTTTCTATTGAAATCAATGTTTGATCAGAGCAACCAATTCTTAAAACAAACATTGACATTGACGAGTGTTCTATTCAAACAACCAAATCAGGATAATCAACGATCATCTAATCAACGATCATCTATTAGATATTGATCTAAAATGTAATAGACAGTGTGTACTGTTTCTCTTAGATTGGTATAGATGATGCTACATGTGCGTTGTAAATACAAGGAGTGTAAGATGCGTTTTTCAATGGTGATGCGGTATCCTTTACAGTTAACAGGTTTACCATGATGGCTACATTAACACTATCCATGCCTCTCTCATTCAGAAGTGGTGTATCCATCATGGCTATTGTAAATAATTCGAAAAGCGTTGTTATAGTTCGACTCATCTATATAACACTTCGCAAAGAATATGAACAAATCATTCAAGAGATCCTAGATATAGGATTGAATGCTGGCATATCTTAACTGTATAAGCGTTAACAAAAGACTGTCCAAATATTGTTTTATTTGTATTAACAGAGAACATTTCAAATTTTCTTGCCCTTTGTCACCTTCTCAAAATTCGTATTATCCGATGTTAAAATGATTATTAAATTATTATAATAAATATTTCATTTATTTTGAAATACGGCATAAAATGTTTTGTTTCAAATATTTACATGTAATTTTATTTTATACATGTATTCTTATTTTTTGTATAGATACACCCAAACCTTTACTGTAGATGGGCAAAATATGTGTCATTTTTGTGATGTTTTATGAAACTTGAGCGGTATTGTTTAAAATCGATGAACATATTAAAGCATTAAAATTAGGGAGATACAATTTGATTTGATAATTAAACGCTTTATTTTAAGGAAATGTTTTCAATATACATGTAAAACAATGTTTTGGATAAAAAGATATTAGTTTATATACTAATTTTAACATAAATGTCATTTCTCGTTCTCTATATTGGTAATTAAAATGAACACTGTGGAATGGTGATTAATTTTTTTAGTTATATGAATTATAAATTTCCCTAAATAAATGTTATGATAAGATGTGCATTTTATGTCAACACAATAAGATTATCGAACGTGAATAAATTAAATCATATTATACTAGTTTATTATATAGCTTTTTTATCTAACAATTAAAATTTTTAAAAATCCATTGAATGATCAACTACTTTCTATTTGTCTAACTATAGCATCTCTAAGCTGATCCAGAGGTTTAAGACAAACTATTTTCTGTGTTTAAAGTTCTTAATAGTGCATTTTTCTGGTGAACATTTCAAAACAATGACAAAGTCACGTGACCGTTTAACTTTATTTGTCAACATCTTTGCTATATCCAGATCAGGTAAAATAGAGTGAAATAAGAATCCCTAACGAAAGCCCAACGCGGCAAAATTGAAAATGATGCCGGCTCGGTTTGATTGAGCCTGTTCATGGACGGTACTGTCAAGTGCAAACTACCGTCCACGCCCCTAGCACCGGCTTAAGCAGAAGAATTAGAAAACATAAATAATTTCATTTCATCTCATATTTTCTTTTTTCTTTTTAAATATCAGTCTCAATATAAAGTAACATATAATAATAAAATGAAACTATTTTATTGTATTACCATTAATAACCATCTTTAGTTTTGTGTGATAAATAGATGATCTTTTGAAAATTTAAGAAACAATTACATTATGTATAAAGACAATGCAATTTACGTTTATTAATATAAACAATTAAATGGTTGATAAAGTTGTGTAAGGAATTGAAAGTTGTGTAAGGAATTAAATGAAAAAGAAATATCCGTTGTAAGGTTTGATGGCAATCTATCAAATGTTGTATTTATAAAATGATTTTTAAATTTTATTACAGCTACTCCCGCGTCGTCGACTGCTTCAACGTTCTCATCGACTCAAGAATTAGACACAACAACGAAAAGAGATGAGACGTATACCTCTTCCCAATCTACAGTTCCTATTTCAACTGATATTCCAACAACAACTAGTGATATAGACACCACAGTTGAACCAACAAGTATGATAACATCTACTGAATCTGATACAACCAAGGGCGATTTATCAACGACAACTGCAGTATCTGATACAACAGTTGATGATCTAAGCACAACTACATAAGCATAAGTGATATTGACTTTACAACATCAGATGATCTTGACCCGCCCATAACTGATTTAGAGACAACTTCAAGTGAACAAATTACAACGGAAACTTCTACACAATTTACAGATTTAACCACATCTGTCGCAGCCGAAACAACAACGACTTCTTTGATTTCATCTAGACATCTACCGGTATATTAACAACAGTCGACTAAGATACTACCATAGATGAATCGACTACAATTACAGACACTCCCGTGACATCAACGCAACCAGATCTTACAACGTCGTCGCTAGGGGAAGAAACAACTGTAGTAAAGCTTCAGATCAATTATGCCAAACAAGAGACGAGTTTGATCAACGTCATAAAATATGAAGATATCTACCATTTAAGATATTGTTGTTGTTGATATTTTTAACAGTAACTTTTAAATCATAGTGGCTTTTTGTTTTTTTAAAAAATCATACATCCACATCTACATGTATTTTTTGATTTCTAATTTTTATAACTGACTATTTTTGGAAACCCTATTCTTAATTTTAGCTATAAATTATACGTAATAAGACTTGATTGTTTCTTTTGCCATTGAATCATTGTTTCTGTGTTTTTTTTATTATCAGATGACGTCAGAAATTATGTCATTATTGCATTAAGCGTTGCTCTTGGTACTATGAGCATCAGTGTGATGATATGGTGTGTTATATCAAGATTGTTTATGAATGTAAGTACTTACAAGCTATTTAAGAAATAATATTGGTCTCAGCGGTGTTTATCAGCTGACACCCGTGTGGAGTTTTGATGCTATAATTTGACCACGAAGGCCGTAGGCTTCTGAGTGGTTACTATTTACGCTTGAAATCGACAAACCTATGTTAAATAGCCGATAAACACCGCTTAGTCCGAATTTTTTTCGATTTTCCCATGACTAAAGAAGGGAGACCATTAACGCTATTTTTTTTGAAACGGATAGTTTTTTCCGCTGCCGATTGTCGGACCCTTCATTTGCTTAGGTATAAAACTATTATACAAAAGAAATATAAATAAGAAATAAATTTCAACACTTTTTTTCTTGTAGGATTTTTTTTATCTTTTTTCCAGTAATTTAATTTTTCGTGTCAAACTGGACTGTATTCTTTTTACATGTATCAATGCTCGATAAATCTTCATCCCCCACCCATGTCAGTTTAAGTTGACGTCATTCTGGCGCTTTTAAAAATGAGTTGCATACTTAGCATGACGTTATTACGCTGCTTGATATTGCCTTAGACTTTTCTCAAATAAATTATATGAACTGATATCCTATTGAAAAACATAAAATTAAAACTTGCATTATTCCCCTTAACCATTACCACACTAAACATCTTAAAAAGGACTTGTCCATTTTACAATCTGGACAAAACCATTCATCATTTCTATGGATTTTTTTTTAAAATAAGTTTTACAGGGCAGCTAACACTGCGGGACCATGGTATTTACATGGCATTTACTGTTTTCTTTTTATTCATTAACGACAATATTCAGGAAGTAGAATTAACAGTGTTTGATAGTGTCAATTTCTTTGTCTTTCATCAGAATATACCTGTTAAATTTGACCAGGTAAAGTGACCAAAGCGACGACGACAAAAATCAACGCTTTTTTGAAACTGAAATCGTGAATTTATGAAGTTGAATCCGTGAAGATACAATGCCATCACCCATTATATCGTAGGAAATCGTAAATCATACATTTTGTTTATTGGTATCATTGCATGGATCTTTTTGCTAACTACCACTGGAAATACCTGCCTATATCCACATTGTTTCCTCTGTCTAATGTTTCTTTTCCAAACCTCACATCGATAAGGGCGTATCCCCATTCGGTCCATCATGTTTGACTCTTTATTTACACAATAACTACCTCATAATTTCAGGAAAAAAATAAATACAGACGATATATACATAGGACGTAAATTTATAAGCTGTCCTTTTTGTTGAACTTATTTAATGAAAGGTCATGTTTAATGTGTGCATGCAAAAAGAAAAACAATAAACAACAATCAAAACCCAAATATTGAAATACTGATAAGGAACTATTTTTTTGATAACGCTTAAGCATTTTTTTATAACCTTCGTCTATATTCTTTCACTAAAATAACAGCTTAATCTCGATACAAAATACAAAACACATTGTTAAACAAGTGAAAATACATGCAAGACGTGCATCTCAAATTACTTTTGTCATTTTATAAATTAACCACAAAAGCATGTATCAGAAATCATTTTAATAAATAAAACGATATATTTATAAATAAAATGCCCCTTATTGTATATTCTGTTTATGTGTAGTACGTGCAAAGTAGTTTGTATGATACTGTTATGATATCATGTTTTAGCAATGTGAATCTTTTCGTTTTTTCACTCGTTTCTTCTTGGATTGACGTCTTATCATATGTAGCAGCTTTTCCTCATTCTTTTCCTGAGTAAAGAAAGCACTAGCCATCACGCTGCGAACTTTGTAAACATGTTTAATCTCCTTCGCAACCGTTGGGCTAAATGGCCTTACCTGAATTGGGCGAACTTCTCTACTATGCGTATCCGGACTTTCAGTATCACTATTATCGGTTTGATAACTGTCTGCAACCGTTTCTGGTTGAGACATTTCCGGTTCCGGTTTATATACTTCCTTTTCCGGTGTAAACAAAAATCTTCTGTTTGCAGGAGAGTCTTTGATTGTATCTACACTGGTTATATCTAGAGTATCAGGAGATGTATTACGAATGTCACGTTCATCGTCACTTTTTGGAATCCTTTTCTTTTTCTTTGTTCTCTTTTTGTGCTTATGTTTGCTGATAATTACATTTTCCATTTTGATTGGAGCCGCTTCATCTTCATCTACAAATGCTTGAATATTTCCATTAGCCACAGGCTTGATTGGTGTTTTGTCAGGAACAATTGTGGATTGCTTAACTTTTTCTTGTTTTGTTTCATCTCGATGGATAATATCCGTCTGACTGCTTGTAGTTTGAACATTTTTCTCTGTTTTGATATTTGCTTGACTCTTCTGACTTTTTGTCTTAATCATGTCTGTTTGAGATTGTCCATTAGACTGTAATATTGCTTCTGTTGATACACCTTTATCTTTATGCTTTAATGATGGTACTTCAGTTTGAGTTGACTTTTCTTCAGACATCATGAAATCAGTTACAATGTCTGATTCCGTTAAGGTTACTTGGCAGCCAATCTCTGCCCTCTGAATACGAATTTCATTCATTTGAGAGTTGACGTTCGGTACAGGAAGATCTTTTGTTTCCATAGCATGGTGTAGTTGTACCTGGCAAGCAAAGTCTTTTAAAGTTGGACGAGCGGGCAGTTCTGGTATGGATACCATGACTGGCTGTTGCAGGGATGGTTTATTCTCCACGGGAACCTGTAATTGGGTTAAAGCAAACTTTTATTTCTAACAGAACTGCAACACATGTATGTCAATTTCTGCTCATAGTTGTTGCTCTATGTCACTTTACAAATCAAGGATTGAATGACAAGGAATGATAACTCCGTGTGTGTTATTTTTCGTGTAAAACAAAATTTACTTCCCTTTTAGATTAACCATTATTGTGAAAAGCAATTAATAACATAACATTAAAGATTTAAAGATCTACATTAAATAAATCAATACATGTGACTAGGAAGTAAAGCAGTGGCTAATGAACGCTCACGCAGACGACATCGATTAAATAAAATTATGATCGTGGAATGAGGAAGTATTCTTTAAATTATTTATGGACTTCGATTAAATTTGCTAAATGTCAGCAATGGACTTTTAAAAAAATAAATATATATGTGCATTCAACATGCAGTTTCAAATTACAATCCTTTCTCCTTTTTTTCATTGCTTAACCATTTAAATTATCTTTAATAGAAAGTAATTTGTAAATATGTAATGCTTTATATTCAGAAATATTAAACAGTACAATGGTAATTGATCGTATTGTCACCATAGTGCATTAACGTATTAAGTCCTTTTAAATTCAAAATGAGTTAACCAGTTATTGCCCTAAGATAATTAAACATGTAAAATCTAAAAAGGAAAATGTTTTGCTATTTCAATAGCTTAACTTTTTTAATACATGTAAATAGAGCAGGTGCAGTGATCCAGTGTTAACATTGATTGATTGACTACAATTCGTAGGTTGCGAGTTTGATCATCAGCTACTCAACCTAGAAACTATCAAGTATATCAGATTAGAATAAAAACACTAGAGATTCCTATGACAACTATATGTTACCGTATATTTCACATAACACCCTCTGGAACCCTTTAATTATAATGCAGATTTAGTATACATTTTTTTATCTAACGATATTACTGATAGAAAAAAATATTTTAAGAAAAAAAAGAAACCAAGAGCTTATATCTTATCATCTAGATGGTATATAAGATAAAACACTTTTTATTTACTTAGTAACGAATGAAATTTCTTATGACATACGATTTGGTACGATTTACCTTTTCTATGTCATTGTTGCTTTTGGTACGACATGTTCTGTAGAGGCAACACGATAATATCATAACAACAATCAACAGTATGGCCGACAACACTCCTAGAGCAATCACTACAGCCAAGAAATCATCTGGAAAAAAACAACAACAACAGATTTCATGATGTTCCTTGCCGAGCAGTCATCTGGAACAAAAAGAGATGTCATCAGCGTAGATGTGACGGCAGAAATGGAATAAACAATAGGTAAAAATACCCCCCACACCCCAAAAAAAACAACAAAAAAAAACAAAACAACAAACAACAACAACAACAGTAAATCGATACCCCTTTCATCAGAATTGTCTTCTGCAGTTGTTACATTGTGTGTAACTGGTGACGTTATAATAGTTGTTGTTGTTGTTGTCGAAGGTTCTGTCGTTGTTGTTGATGTCATATTCTCAGTGGTTGTAGATGTGGTTACCATGGTTGTACTGGTTGTCGTCTGCTTGCAGTATTGTTGGGTTGTAGGCGGACAGCTGATAGTAATGTTAGAATTCTGTGTAGCTATCAAATAACAAATGGATATTCAAAGGTCAGTGAATTAATGTACTAAAAACAGAACACATATATTTATTGATGAAATCTTATTTGGTATAATCATAAAATAAACAAAAATATTTATTATTGTTATTTAAACATCTGATATAGGTTTGTATATGTGAATCTGACTTGTATACAAAAATACAACAAAAGAAAAAGAAACGTGTGCTCCGTTTATAACTTTGCTGACGTGATACATTTTACTGTGACGTTGAAATCATATGAAAAAGTGAAATTATTAACTCATGTTTAAAGTTTCATTGTAAGGGTATTTTCATCTGAAACTTGACTTCGGCTCTCATGGACTTTGTATGGCGGATCTTTGCCTAGCAAAATCTAGTTCAAAAATAAGGTTTTATTTTTCTTGATAATTACAGTAAAACTTCTATAAGTCGAACTTCGATTAGTCGATTTTCTCGATGTGTCGAAGCAAAATGAAAGTCCCGATTTTTTCCCTTATATATTCCTTATAAAAACCTATTTATGAGTCGAGATTTTATGTGTCGAATTTTTCGATGTGTCGAAGTTTTTTCTTGGTCCTTATAGAATAAATCTATGTATTTTAGTGTAAAAAGCTATTTTATTCTACCGTCTCTAGTGTACAACATTATCGTTGAAATTTTGAAAAATAATAACTCCTAAATACCTGTATGAATGAAATATGTTTATGCATTTTTAACAAAAAAAAAAATAATATAGTTGAATAAACAGAAACCTTGAAATCCCATCCAGACCTTGCCGTCGGTATCGTTACGGGTATTTTCTAGGTTAACCAGTATATAAGTAACCTGTGCCTGGAAGTTTTCTATATCTTGTTTATTATCACTACATGTCCACTCATACAGGACGGTACTATCTTCACCACTTCCAATCCGGATAGTTTGGTTGCACATCCCATTTCTGAAAGAGGTTATTTATCATATAGCTATGATTTTCTTTGTCATGACTGTTGCGCTAATTCGAGAGAAACGCATATAAACATGTTATTTTTATGATATGCATTTTATTTACTAACGCATTGATATTTTTGTTGAGTTTAAAGTGACATCAAAAGTGTAACGATCATAGTACGACTTTTTAGCCTGCTAGTTTCTGAAATAATGTACTAATTCAGGGTCACCTGATGTCTTTCTTCACAATTTAAGATGAGAAATCACCGAAAGACTTTATATATATGTGCATATAAAACAATGAAAGTCAATAACAATTCAAAACTTAAAAGCAGTTATTTATTCTTTAGAAATTCTCATATTGCAGATAAATTTTTAAGAAAACCCCACAATGTAATTGACAGATAGGATACAAAATAAAACTAGCTACTGCAAAATTATTAATATTCAAGGAGTACTAATGCTAGTAGTGAGTGTTTGTGGATAAGTTACTCCATGACTTTAAGATCCAGCAATATTTTAACTCAAGATATATGCCACATCTTTTTCAGTGTTATGCGATAACATTATTAAAATTCTTTCAAAATTATAATTACGATATTACCCGTTTCCCGTGAGTATTCTGTACATTTTATATATATCAATATAAGCATCACAGTTGTCTATCTCCACGGAACAGTTGCAACTTGGGTCAGACGGCTTGATGGTCGAAACCTCAAAATCTGTGTTCCAAATGTAGATGGTAGTGTTCTCTCTTGTTAGTGTAGATGTCGTGGCGGAACACAACTCTACCATTTTATCGTCTGCGGAGTAGACAAAATATGAAACAAACATTGATATTTGAATATGATGAGAGCCATAAATTACATATTAGCTGGGTTCATTTTTTTGTAATTTCTTGTTCACTTGCCTGCAAGTATATTATAATTTAAATTTCATTCATGTAAAAGAAAAACATAACAAATATCTATATAAATGTTTTCCCTGACTTAGCAACAACTGAGCATAAACATGAACCTTTAAGTTTCAGACATTACTGATAGTTATGCACTACGTCGCCATCTTGACAAAATGGTTAACAATTCCGTCACGAGATTGGCCTTTAAGCTGTGTTCTCACCGCCGATCGGATCAACTCGATCGTCCCGATCACATTAATTCCCCGATGAAGCCCGACCAAGCTGGATCAAATGCACATTCACGACTCCTACACGACCTCAAGTCGACCATGTTTACGACTTCTTCTCGACGACAACCCGACCAACATCCCGACTTCTTCTCGATCACCCAGACCTATACCCGAGTCATATACGATCTTAATTAGACTAACTGGACCTCTGCTCGGTCGTTGCCCGATTTCAACCCGACCAGATCGGATAATGCTCGAGTAGAAGTCGAGATTATCGTGTACAGATCGGGTAAAAGATGTATACCCGATGTATACCCGACCAAACTAGATCGTTACACGATTTATTCTCGATCAACTAGATCTTCTACTCGATCACTATACGATCGCTTCTCGACCGCTTATCTACTCGATCGCTACTCGAATCTTTTTGACATGCCGACCAAGGTAGACCGCTCCGACCACCCTCGATCACGCATGCAGACCGAGCTAGACCGGTACCAGATCGCTTGATCGTGCTTGATCGAGTTGATCTGATCGGCGGTGAGAACACAGCATACTTAGCGGTTAATTGACACAGATAATTAGATAATGTGATTTTTATCCAGTATTCTTTTAAAAAGAAATGATTTCTTTAAAAATAATAAAAAAAACATCATTTTGTTTTATTTTCTATTTTCAATTTAAAAGTAGATGCACGATAAAAGAACACAAAGGTTTACACCTTGTGTTTTGTTAGCCATTCACGAGATCTCGCGAGGTTTTTAAATGTTTTTTACGGCTGTTGAGATTTGTTTAAAAGAACATTATATTGTATAATATTGCGGGAAAAAACACAAGGAATGAAGGTTATCGGGTAGATATACATAGAACCTTTACACTTATACCTCACTTATAAAAATACGTTCACTTCAGCTGTGTTTATAGCTCGCTATATACATTATCTAATGTAATACAAAAATGGTTGGTAGAAAATAAGAGTATGTATGACATTGAATTACAGTCTTCTATTACGAATCGTTGTCCACTTGGCATAAATTGACACTTTTGATGAAATTTGTACTGATATGGTCAAAATAAAATGTCTACTTCGTTAGTTATTCGTTGGTTTGAGAAATTCAAATGCACTGAAGATGCACCCCATGCCCGTCGGCCTAAAACATCAACGTCTGTCAAAATGGTTGCTAAATTAAGCTAAAGGTAAGGTTTATACCAATGTAAGATACGCCACTAGGAAAGTGCTCCCCCAGCATCCCTATTTACCTGAACTTGCCCTTTGTGACCTCTTTTTGTTTCCAAAGCTAAAAAGTACCTTTCAGGTCGAAAATTTGTTCAGCGCAAACACCCGAATTCTGCAATGCCCCAGTGTCTTCATAGTATAATTTAACAAAAAAACACTTTGAAAAAGCCTTCAAAGATAAGATTCCGAGACTAAAACAACGTATATCGTCAGGTGATTACTTTGAGGTGGGGGGGGTAAGTATTTGACGGACGGTAAGTATTCATCTATTTCTAATATAAGTATCCCAACTGTGTTGAGTAAATCAATGTTATGGATTCATAGTCAACATCCAAAGGAGCATACTAACAAATTTCTGGCCCTGTGCAAGCTTTACTACACGTGAATTTTTGTCTGAAAATAACAACACTATCCGATGTGATGTGACATTTTTATTTTTAAGTCACAAAAACTTATATTTTCTCATGATAATAAATCCTTTTATCATACGATTCGTAAACGTCAACATTAAATTTTCGTCATTGAATATTCCTAATCATACCTTCAAAAACGCTTTTCTGTTAAAGTTATAGGGTATTTAAGTTGGAGTGTCATCAAAATTTTAGTAACGTCATCAGCCGTTCACCTCTTTTTAATGATAACATCGACAGCCATTCATCAGCAAGAATGAATAACGCTGAATATCAATGTTATATCTTTCAGTTAAATACCTCAACATATCCCTCCCTCTCTAATCCATCTCTTTGAAATGTGTATGAATTTACAGACAGAGTTTAAAAAATGATTGATTTTATATATACAACCACAGTCTGCAGTGCGCCTTTTTAAATTTAGGCGGGAAAGTATCATGGTATGCAAGTGAAATTGAGATGACTTCAAAGCCATATTGATCCCCAGAGTCTCGGTAAACTACCCTAAGCAGTTGTATAGTTCATTGACTATGGAGATAAGAAGACATTGTCTTTCCCTTTGACGGATATTTAAATAAAAATGTTTCTCAATAAAGCAAGAAATTTAAAGTGGGTCCCGAAGTGTAAAGCCGGTGTATGTGAATGCTTTTATGTACTTGTATTTCTGGTGATCATGCGTCTTATTAAAAATCATACAATACTCTGCTACTTCGCAGCCGAAATAAAATCTTACCCTCTATGCAGTAATACTCCATGAACATGTATCGGCTAAGTGTAGTAAAAGATCCTTGAGTACAGCCAGTAGTTTGTTGAACCTGGGTTTGTTCCTTACATGTTTGTTGTCCGTTACATCTTCTATGGTAGTTATAATTTTCTTGATACAACGAGAATGTACAGTCATTTGTTTGGTCGTTTGTGCAGCAGGCGGAGAAACCGTGCGACGCATTGTAGTCCGGAGGACATCCTGTAGATTGCAGTTTTGAACCCAATGTGACCCTGTTTATAGCAATCACCTGACCATTATTACACGTTGCATTGACTGTAGTTTCATCAGAATAAGGTCCGTGGCATGCCGATGATGATTGCTCGATTTGGAGACTTGATGGTTGACATTCCACTGTGAAAAATAAATAATATATATCTATATAAGATGCATAAACAAGAAGGGAATCAATAATTTTAAAAGAGAGATGAATTAAAGTTATTTTTATAATATTTCAAAAGCTAAACTATACCAAATAAGATCATTGTGTTTTATTACATATTTCAATCAGCAACTTGTAAACTCCGCTGAAATTACCCTATCTTGACGGCGATTTATTTTACCAGTGCCCTAATCTATTAATTTGTTTATGCAAGAGTCCCATAATTTAACAGATAAGTGGATGTAATGACATTACAGTGAAACGAAACCTTTGGAGGAAAAGACTGACCTGGCCCTGCAGTTTGCATATTTAAAGACTGATAACATAGTCCTACATTTGAAAGTTCATACTGACTTGGCCATACATTTGAAAGTTCATCATGACGGAGCCCTGTAACACCGCACCTTGGGGTCAAACGCACTTTGGGGTCCGACCCCAAAGTGCGTTACGTACTTTGGGGTCCGACCCCAGAGTGCGTTACGCATTTTGGGGTCCAATTTCGACCCCAAAGTGCGTTAAACAGGTACATATGCATTTTTTAACATCAGGCAAACGACCGCACTTTGGGGTCATAGAAAATTAATGTTTATTATGTTTTAAATAATATATTGTAGTCAAAGCCAATGGTAAACAAAAATCAAGGTATTAAATAGACACAAAACATGTGCCCTGAATTATAGTAGAATCAATAGGGATTTAAATGGTCTTGATTAGTAAGTGAAAAACTTTCACCGAATAAATCACCAAATAAAGAATTTGTATCAATTATTAAGCTTAAAATATTTTTTCTCAAATTTTCCACTTATTTTAAAAGAATGTAAACCTTTCATTAACTCCATTGTTTTTAGCTTAATGCATTATTTTCCCGTATTTTTGTTTACACATTTTATAGAAATATGATAGTCTTAACAAAGGGGTATAAATTCTGGGAAATCTTAGTAAGACATTTCAGTAAAACATGTGCCTGATAATATGTTGAAAGAGCCATTTATTTAGCTAAATGTGACATATAACTAACTTGACCAGGTATAGATGCAGTTAAGTAGTAGTCCGTACAGGCAGTACTAAAAATATCAACTATTTAAGTAGTCGCACATTAAGAGCGGAGCTTCAGAATAATGTAAAATTCTCACTGGGGGTATAGAGGGGATTGTGGGGTATCGATCCCCCCGAGGGTTAAAAATAACGTTTTAAAGGCCCATTATGCTTTTATTTGTTTTTCTTAAAAGCTTTTTTATTTTGATGTTCTTCTATATTATCCAAAAAATACACATTGGCCAATTACCTGAACCATCTTTTTCATCTGTTGCTTTTTGGCAATGATGAGTACAGTTATAGTGAATTAGTATTTTATATGGAAGTCAAATACTACAGTGTTTTGACTTCTTTTATGACAAATAATTTCACATTTATCGCTACTTTATTCAGGTAACAAGCATCTTACATTTCTCTGATACCATTATTTTAACATTATAAAATTCATGTTTGCTCTTTCTAAAGAAGTATGTAAGATTTCCCATAAAAAAGCCTATGACGAACGGTGGTTACGGAGCTTACAAAAACCCTTAAGTTTATTGATAAGCTTAACAATGTATTTGTAAAAATCACTATTTATAGTCCGATCGAAAAACTTGATGTTTCACCAGAACATTGCAATAGAGTATATTTATAGTTCTTTGGAAAAAATATTAACTGCATTTTATTTCATTCCCAACAAATTTAAAATTTTTTTTTTTTAGATATTTCAAGTGGTAAAATTAATGAAACTTTTATCACTTAAGCATCATAAAGTATTGACCGCCATCTTGAACTCCACCTCAAATATTCCAATGTCGCAGATAGAAAATAAGTCAGTACTCAGTATTTAAGCAGAACTCAGATTACACCATTAGACCTCTTGAACCCAAAGTGCGTTGATATGTAGCACATTAACGCACTTTGGGGTCAATTTCTCGACCCCAAAGTGCGGTGCGAAGTTTAACGCACTTAGGGGTCGGACCCCAAAGTGCGTTTGACCCCAGCGTGCGGTGTTACAGAGCCCTACATTTGAAAGTTCATACTGACAATTGGAAAGTTCAGAATGACCTAGCCAAGCTAGTAGTTGTAGTTAGGAAGTACAAACTTACCTGGCCGAGTATTTTTGGAAGTACAGACTTGCCTGACCTAGTAGTTAGGAAATACAGATTGACCTGGCACAGTTAAAAAAAATGAAATACATACTGACCTGGACCAGTAAGAAGGGAATTACAGAGTGAACTGACCCAGTAAACTGTATAAGAAAAGCCTGGCTCTACAGTCTACACTGTTGATATCTACCGGCTGCATTCATAGTATAGAGTAAACTTAATTAGGAAATATATTGTAAAGCCCTAGCTTTATACTAAATACATTTACTCGTTGTCAAATTATTCGTTTTATTTCATGATTTCGTGTATATACAAGTAAAGTATCATCAGCTTAATTACTACACTGACGGGATAAAGATACGCATTGCTTTATTAAAATACAAATTAACATTAATAGTAGCCTAACACCAATTAATTTACATGTATTAAGGTGTAGGGTTATGTTATATTATGACACTACTGGCTCAAATCAATGCCACCGTCATGAAATGATTGTAGGCTCTTTGCATTAATACCACGCAGTTTCATTTTGTAAAATTATTCATGTACATGTCAATGTTAACCTAACACAATCTGTATTTCGTAAATTTGCCGCTAGGAAAATGATTACTAATGATGCCGCTGACAGTGATCGCACTTTAGCAATGTTAAAATATGGGCTTAGTGAATATCAGATGCTACACCATCGACAGTAACACAGTGACGTGTTAGAGACACATAAATATTTTCTGATAGACAGGTTTAGGTGAGTCACCAACGTCTTCTGATAGCTCGTAACCATCTCCAGGATCGTTGAAATAAGGTCGATTTTAGTGATGAGTCGCGATATAATTTATTCAGTGCTCACAAGCGCATTTCTCACTTACCGGATAGAAAAATCCGTAAATGTTACTAAAAGTTGCAGTGTTGGAAAATCTTATCTCACACTCCACCTGCAGCACTTCTTTACGTTTTCCTACACACTCTATATTGACAACAATGAAACGTCACGGGGCCAAATCATTTTTTGGACAGTAAAATGCTTTTTGTCAACCATAGAGTCAGGTGCCTTTAAGCCCCGCTTGTAATGCTCTTTCACTGATATTTATATGTCTCGGTGAGTGAAAAAAATAATCAATCATTGGGTTAGATAGAGGATAGGAAAATCCCAACCCTCGGGCAATCGTTTCCATCGGGAATCGCCAAGGCTCGTTCCCGATTGAACTGATCAGGTCGGGTTTGGATTTCCCTATCCTCTATCTAGCGCAATGCAAGATTATATTAATCCGGCGCTAAACGTCGAAACGATCGTTGTGTTGATAGCTGTGAATACGAGTATGACCGTTACGGTAGGGGCGGTATTATAGTGTAGGTGACAGCTTGACAATATATTTTTAAGTTATGAATCATTTCATCATTTAAAGGTTCCAAAAACGTCAGAAACTGACACTGCAGCATAATAATACAAGACCACACGCCACACGCATTACCCGGGAACATCTGCGGCACAATATTATCAATGTTCTTTCTTTGCCAGCACGTGCGCCAGATGGCAACTCAATAGAACACGTTTGAGACTATATCGGTCAACGTCTACGTAAACGTCAAAATCAGCCACAAACCCTCTAGCAATTAACAACAGCTATCTGCAAGGAGAGGAACAGGATTCCATGTTACCTTCTACGTAACTGGTGAAGGGGAAGGACTACCGTTATAGCAGGTGTTGGGGGTAATACAGAGAGGATATTTAAGTTTTGTTTCTATAAATACAGTATTTATTTTCATCGAGTGGTATGAAAGTAAATATTTCATAAGTGGCGGTAGCAACGAGTGAAATATAATAATTTTCATATTACAAGATGAAAATAAGCCCTTCACAATCATGTACATACATGTAAAAACCTTCTTATCAGGAAACCTTTCTAATCCGGACTTTTCTTCTGGTCCAAACGAGTTCGGATTAGACAGGTTCCACTGTATTTTTAGAAAAACTTTCTGCTTATTATATACATTTTCCTCTTTTTTTTGACATTACAATTTGAAAGACTTTCCCTTAAATTTTGTGTGGCAGAATTTAAAAGAAAACATATTGTCTGGCAAGTCACCAGTGAAAATACGGAAAATATGTTCCACTGAAGTGAAAAATAAATTTTTACAGTGAAAATATGGAAAATGAAAATACGCGTTTTATTTCATTTTCAGTATATATTAAATAGAGGATATTTGTTTAGTTCAGTGTAAGATCGGAATATATTTCACCGAGTGAGCACCAAAAGGTATATTTCACGAGTGGCGCAGCCACGAGTGAAATATGAACTTTTGGTGTTCACAAGGTGAAATATATTTCGATCTTACACTAAACTTAACAAATTTTCTTTTTATTATATGCAAAGAAACGTTTTAAAAAGACATTAAACCTAATACTGAATGAAACGCGAGCCAAATAACAATACAACGTGACGTCATTTACGACGTCACGTCATTAAGTTGGTTCATAGTACTGTGCACGCTGGTATTTCACTGAAACAACGTAAGGGGCTAAAATTCAAAACAGTGAAATTATCAAATTGATAATTTCACTGTTTAAAACAGTGAAATTACCAGTTTTATATCACTGATATATTTCTATAAACCACCGAGAAGCATGTAATAAATAATTCTTACATCATCATTACAATTATATAGAAATACTTTTTTTAATTATCTATTGTACCACCGAACATGGCATTGGACATAGTTAAAAAAAATTTGGCGAACAAAAAATTGCAACTATAAATTGTATCAACTGATATTGATAAAACCTTGGAGACATTATATTTTTTAGCATCATATGGAAAAACAACGGAAAATATCAATTAAATGCGTTGTTAGTGACGTCTAACTATCAAATAAAACAGCCGCAAATACATGTGGTAGTACCTTACCAGTGTTTATTTGCACTTTTAAATCACGAGGCATTTAGAATTTATTATAATAATACTTATGCCAGGACGGTTGTTACGCTGGAAAGAATGTTTTAAACTAGCCTACCGAAAATATTTAGCCGTTTCTAATAATGCCAAAATATCTGTGGGCAACAATTGAAGGTTTTGGACTTTTTATATAGTCTATTTAAATCAGGTTTCCACGATCGGGTTGAACGAAACACGGAATATTTCTTTAACCCATTACCATATATACGTTTTTCTACGCCATTTTCACCCCCTCCCCCCTTTTTGTTGTCTCAAATGGTGACAAAAGGAAACACGGAATATATCTTTAACCCATTACCATATATACGTTTTTCTACGCCTTTTTCACCCCCTCCCCCCTTTTTGTTGTCTCAAATGGTGAAAAAAGGCCTTATTTATGCCCCCAACACTTGTTTGAGAAAGATTTTATTTTTTAAAAATAGTGACCACTTTTTCGGCACCGCCCCCTATCCAAAAGATGCATCAGGGGTTGCCAGAAGGGGGTGTGCCCCCTTGGGTTTGAAGGGGGCGGCAGCCCCCCCCCCCCCCCACTCCTCATTGCTAAGAAAATTTTGGACATGTGTGAGGCTAAAAATGACCCAGGTCGATCATAAGGTAACGTGTAACCAACACTGAAAAGCCTTTGACTCTATCTCAATCTATTAAGAAGTTGCAGCACTTTGAAATAAATTTTGATGGAAAAAAATCAACACAAAATAGTGATTTTTGGCAATTTTGAGATGTCCCCTCGTTCCCATGGTAACAGGAAAATGTTGTTACAAAGGCAATGGTTGCCAAGTTTGATTAGTATTGAAGCAGTTTTTATAGTTTTATAGCAATTTGAACTTGTAACGGGAGACTTTTCAATGAAAACAGTCATTTTTCACAAAATTCTCATGCGGTAATGGGTTAACACCAAGCTATAATGTTTCATGGTAAACTTCAAGAATTTCACAAATATTAGTCAAAGTTTCGTATCATTATGAGCTTTTTATTAGTTTTTAAAAAAGTTTTTAATCCCTCGTGTCATTTTTATTTTATTTAACGGGCCGATTAGATCACCTTTCGGCTCTACTCTCCCGTGTTATTAACCTCTTATTGATATCAATATTTATAATTTAATAATTACATATCAACAATTAAACAATAAGCTTACCTTGTGATATAAAAGCGCCAGTTAAAACACAGATTATCACTAGAACGTTTAATTTCGTCATTTTTTAAGTTTTAAACAATCATATCATTTTTCATTTGAAAGAGCACACTAAAGGTTAGCATTGAAATCTTGCATGCACCAGTTAAAACACCGTTAAGGTGATTTGTTTTATTGTTAACTCATACAGGGGTTGATCAAAATGTAATAAGCCAATCTATGTCTTATCAGAAAAGAAAAAATACCGCTCTATGTTCCCATACATTATATCACACTCAGGTGTAATAAACAAATAAATTGTTGGTAAAATGAATGTCATATCTTTAACCCAGGTACATAAATAACGTAACGCACACAACTAAAACTAAATAAAACTTAAGTAAATTGACAACTAAACAAGGCTTTTATTCTTGAAGTTATTTTTTTGTAAACAAATGCAAATAAAGTACGATAATGATTTAAGATTTATAGATTGAGAAGATTGGAAATGTTTATTTTGTAAGTCTACGTGTACATATATTAAGTGATCTCTAAAAACCTTTTATATAAATCACAGACACTAAACTACAGAAGTTTACGGTAACTAAAGCACACGTGAATTAAAAAAACATGTTTACAGACACAGTATCAAAGTCACTAGACTTGCGAAAGGTTTGATCTTAAAACAAAAACACAAATGTTAAAAGCCAGAAAAAATGTTTAAAGTTTCACAAAACGTCCATACATAATTTTGTTCATACTAGAGAGTATGTCAAGTGTGGAAGAAGCCTGTGGAATAGCTTTTGGCAATATAGTAAAAACACGAAACATTGAATGAACGACCGAAAAAAAAATGTTTTGAAATGAGTCCCTCATACTACTGACAATAGTGGTAGAAATAGTGGGACTTTGACTGATCCAAATAATCCGCTCTGCGGGGTTAGTAAGCTGGTTCTTTTTAAAGTATACTGTTGGCAAAATAATTTGCAAGTTATTTCAAGTAATGATGATGAAGATATGCATAGAATTTGAAAGTCTATCACTTACTTGTACGGATGCAATCTCATACGCAGTGATCTCGCCTTAATCAGTACAGTACAATCTGCCAAGGGAGATGAGATGAATAATATCAGCAGGATTTACGTAACTTGGCCTTGATGCCAAATAGGCCTTTATATGTAAATTGAAAAAGCATTTGGTTTCGAAATTCCAAAAAGAATTCAATTAGAAAAATAATTCAAAAAAAGAAACCCCTTCATATATATTCAGACTAGAATACCTTCAAAATATGAAATCTTTATAACATGCCCATGTATTCTTACATGTAAAAACCAAGAAAAATATTTATGCAAAAAAAAAATCCTCCATTTTGTTAATCAACCCTTAACTGAGGGTATTGTAGTGGTTAAAGTCTACAACAAAATTGTTTTACAACCCTTGCAAAAATCAAGCAGTATTGTTTGTCTAAAAGAGGAAGAAGAAAGGTGTTGATTTACTACATTATATTGCAAAATAATTTAAACGTCGCTGATTGGCTGTACATGTAAGTCAAAACCAGCTTGTTTGAATGAATAGATCCGAACGCTCTATTTCACCGATATTCAATATAAATAATAGAAGAATTGGCCTATCCAATGATCAATGTAATTTACATTTTGACAAATAAAAGAGCGCATTAAAATGTTTAAGCTGGTAGTGATACACTTACTACATGTATTACACATGGTCAAACATTAAAGGGTATACATTTATATCTTAAATTAAATTTAAATTTAATATCTTATGAAATATTTTTTTATAAAATTTATCAACAGCAAATTATATTGGTTCCATAACAAATGGTCTAGTCTCAAGAGATGTGTAAAATAGAAATCTCTGTTATTTAACACACGTGAATTGTGCATAAATTGTAAATAAAATGTTCCGGAACAAAAAGTATTATATTATTTCTAGTAGGTTTTATCCGTTTAGCAAAGATTTTGTACATGCCCCATTTACTTTTAGGGTAATTAACTTCCATTTTTATTTCATACAATGATTTTGGAAGTATTCTCTTTTTAAAATTCAAACAATGATTTTTCAGCAGATGCAGCGGGGCGCGGGGCGAGATTTAAGAAATAAAACGGCGGGGGCGTGAAGCGAAAACACGCTAATAAGCGCCCCCACTTATAAGCGTATTTTCGCTGCGCACTCCCGCCATTTTAACTTGTGAATTATCGACTTTTTGCTTGGTGGGGTTGCGGGACGAAAACACGCTTATAAGCGAGGGCGCGGGTCGAAGTTTTATTTATTAAACTTCGCCCCGCAACCCCGCTAATAAGCATGTATTCGTCTCGCGACCCGCCGTTTTATTTCTTAAATCTCGCTCCGAGCCCCCGCGGGGAGAAGTTTTAATTATTAAATTTCGCCCCGCGCCCTCGCATATAAGCGTGTTTTTCGCTGCGCACCCCCGCCATTTTAACTTGTTAATTTTCGACTTTTCGCTTGGCGGGGTCGCGGGGCGAAAACACGAATAGCACAAATCAGCCACCATATTATTGGGCTTTTGACTGTCATAAATTTAAGCTGAAGCCGAGTTTTCTCATACAGGCCATACTTTTTGCATAATGGCCTTGTGTTTTATGTTCATAATGTCGTGGTAAACTTCATACTAGCCTTACATTTGAAGTGAAAAGGTGCCTAATATTGAAAAGTTAATTAATAAACAATTAAACACTTCTAAAATGCCGCAGACATCGAAGTATTTATCAGAGGTATACTAACAGATTAACATCAAAGTAATCATTGTAACTTTAACATCATATTCTTCAAACAATGATTAAGATTGATACCTAAATCTTTTAAACTCCATTTTTTTGGAACCCAGACACAGTACTGGTTCCCGGGTGTCTTAAATAGAGGATATTGTATGAGTGTAAATTTAATGCTGAATTTATTAAATTATATTATGCGAACCTGTATATTATTTTATTCAACGAGTGCAATAAATTTAGTAACGAAATTACACTTATTAAATATTCTATTTATCACATACCAAAAATAAAGATCGTTTGAAGTGAAAAAAGCGCGGCTATAGTATAACATTAACATTTATCGCGTTCATATAATGAAAATGACGTCACTTCAAAATATATAATATGCACAGTGATGACTTCCCTTAATTCGTTGGAGATTTTCTGTCGTACATTTTATAAGTACGCAGGGAATCAGACTAGACCGTGCAATACCATTTTTACGGAGTCGCAAAAGCGACAAGGATATGTGATAGTAAGTTATCAAGAAAGAGAATTTCACTTCTAGTGGGACGTAGTGCTGGTTAGGTGTCTTACGCTCTCCATGCACACCACTTTCTCCATCGAGGATCCAGGGTTTATTACCATTAACGTGCTGGTAACGGAATAAAACATTTTATGTCAAAATCTAGATCTGAAGGAAATTCGAGCCAAAATTCACATCAGGAGTAATGATCCGAGCCGATGCATTAATATTATCAACAAAGAAGTTGCTCTCCTTTTAATTTAAATCTTAAAAGTGTATTGTTTTTGAAGCTGTCATTAATTTTAAAACCATATATTGACAATATATTGGTATCAAATCGCCGATTTCCGTTATATAGACCATGTTTGTTCGCGAGGTTTTACATTTTTATTTTGGTCAAATCTAAGCGGTTTGTCCACTTAACAGGCTTTCCTGGTTAACTAACCAGTAAATATCTATTTCATGCAAGTGACGGTCTTCCAAACCCACGTAATTTGTGAATCAGTGGTAAGAGACAAATGACTATAACACTCAAATGTCCGAGATTGTATTTGATAAATTGAATAAAGAGGGAAAGCACATTCAGACACAGCAACCGTCTATGATACAGCACGTTCGACCATTATCATCATTATTACTTGTTTTTGTACCTAACACGCCTCTTTGAATACTTGGAGGTCAATAATTGGACATGGCTCTGTCAAGATAACAAGCTGGAAACAAAGTGATCCATCGGAAGCATAAATCACAAAAAGATTACGTGAAAAATGCAGACTCGGTTTGATTGAGTCTGTACATGAAGGCTAATGAATAAATGCAACATCCCTCACGCCTCCTAGCACCGGCTGAACGGGACTCAATTCTCAACACTTAATAGTGCTGGCATCAATAAAAATATAACAACACTGAAGTCAAGTACGAGGCAACTTTTAACAGCTGCCATACAGCACTTGACACCTGCTGTTGTGAAGTATAAAATCTAATAAGCCATTATACTTTTATCCAAAAGTTACGATCCATGACAAGCTATGTATCTGTATTTATAAAGATAAGATCCATGATAAGATATGTACTACTGCCCAAAAACAAGCAATGTACTACTGCCCAAAAACAAGCAATGTACTTCTGCCCCAAAACAAGCAATGTACTTTTGCCCAAAAACAAGCAATGCACTTTTGCCCAAAAACAATCAATGTATTTTTGCCCCCAGAAGGCAAACTATGTAAATTTGCCTAAATGCAAGCAATGTATTTTGGGTAAAAGTTACGTTCCATGGCAAACCATGTACTTTTGCAATAAAATCGATGGATTTCCATTATTATTTCAAAGTTATAAAAAAATTAATAAATCACAAAAAAATGCAGACTCGGTTTCAGTCTGTACATGAAGGAAAATGAATAAGTGCAACATCCCTCACGCCCCCTAGCACCGACTGAAAGGGACTCAATTCTCTTCACTTAATAGTGCTGGCATCAATAAAAATATAACAACACTGAAGTCAAGTACGAGGCAACTTTTTACAGCCGTCACTACTTTGACGGTTCAGTGAAAAGTAAGTTGACCAAAATTTTCTGTAAAAATGTCACATTATCTAATCAAAATCCATAAAAGAGTAAAGTGCTCTTACATACTACGCAATGGGCATTAATAAATATATCACATTCAAACCCAATACTACTAGGTAGGTTTTCAATGAAAAAAGCTGGGTGATCAAAAACTGTTTCAAAGTTTACAGGCACGCAAGCAACGAACGGGAAAATGACGTGACGGAATGAATATGACGTGACAGACGTCAAACAAAATTGTCAAATAACAAGTGTGATTTTAAATCATCTACTTTTATTCATTTTTATAAGACTAACAAATGTTGTTAGCAACTGATTAATGCATGCATGTGCTCATTGTAAATATACGAGAAAATCTAGAGATAAATTATCACAATGAAATCTAAATATATACGTGGTAT